GAACTCGCTATAGCAGTGGTTCTCAATCTGTGGGTTGCGACCCCTTTGGGAGTTGAGCGACCCTTTCCCAGGAATCACATATCAGATAACCTACATATCAAATATTTACATGATGATTCATAAAGTATCAAAATTACAATTATGAAGCAACGACAAAATAATTTTATGGTGGGGGGGAACTGTATTAAAGGGTCCCAGCATTAGGAAGGTTGAAAACCACTAAACTAGATGCCATGGCTAGCCTGGGTGCTAAAGTGCAAAGGTTAATTTCATGGGTCAACTTGACTGAGCCATCAGGTGCCCAGATTCAAAAGCTCAATAGCCCCTCAGACTGCACCTGCTCTCATGAAAGCCACCCTGGGGAGTGGCAGCTATCAGTTCCTGCCCAGGACCACAGGATCATGGGTACACAAGGAATGGACAGGAAGGTTGGGAAATGTGGGCCCTTTTGTGGACAGCCATATTCCCCTAGAACCCAGGGGCTTTGTTGCCACATTAGGGGAGATGAGGTCACCTGTGGCTCTGTCATAGCCTGTTTGGAGGAACTCTTGGGGCTGCCTTGGCTTTGGGACAGGAAGCCAAGGAGTCTAAATGCAAAAGTTTTTCTGGCTTCAACAGCGCATGCACCAAACTGGAGCAACACAGACAGGCTTAGAAAGGCCGCTGCATACAGACAACATGCAGATTTGTGAATCGCTCACGTTGTCCTTAAAAGTTTCCACACAGTAAAGAAAAAGACGCATGATGTGAAGAGACAACCCCCATATGGGGGAAACTATTTGCATAGCAGAAGACAGGATTGTCTGTTCCAGAAGTGTCCTAGTATAATCCATCGAACAAAATAATAACCTTCAGGAAATAAATGGCCAACACCATTTTGAAAAATAACTTAAGGCCACTAACCACTGGGGAAAGGCAGATCAAAGACACAATGATGATTCTGGTCAGGCATGGTGGCATATACCTGCGATCCCAGCATGTGGGAGGCAGAGGCAGGATCAGGAGTTCAAGGATGGCCTCACTATATAGTGAACTAGCCTGTGCTACTTGAGACCCTGACTCCAAAACAAAGAAACAAAGAGCAAAAAGCTGGCGACTCTGTGAAGAAAAAGGAATCCTTTTCCATACTTAGTGGTGATGTGTAGTAGTTCGGTCATCCTGGAGCACAGTCTAGGTGTCTTTTAAAAATTAGAAATAAATCAATGTGGTGCAGTAATCTCGATGCTGGGTATATGCCCAGGGGAAGGAAGGAAGTTGGCATGCTAAAGAGACATCTGTCTGTCCCCTCTCACTGCAGCACCATTCACAGCAGCTAAATATGGAACCAACCCATATTTTAAAGGTGGTGCATGGGGCAAACTTGGCTCATCTGATTTTACCCACTGAGCCATCTCCCAGGCCCCTAGTGATTAAAAAAAAAAAATGGGGAAGGGCAGGCAGATATGATTTAATGGGTGCAAAAAGCTCTTATCATCAAGCCTTACAACCAGAATGATCCTCAGGACCCACACTTGCTGGTAGGACAGAACCAGCTCCCTTGAGTTGTCCTCTGACCTACACACACACACACACACACTAAATAAATGTAATTTTTTTAATTAAAGGAAAAACCACGGGAAAGGGCCATAATGTGCTAACACACATACAGTTTTAGCTCTGCTTTTTAGCTGAGACACAGGGGTGTGCTTACCAGAAGAGAGGCTAATTTGGATGGGAGACATTCTTTGCAATAATGCTAAGAATTTCAAAGCAGTGCCTGGTCCTCTGCAATGAACCTGGCCCTGGTCTCTCCAAGGTCTCACTTGCAATAGTAAGAACACAGAGCCAACCGAAGTAGACCTGGATCACAGGGTCCCCTTTGCAAAGGTCGGCTTTATGAAAATACTAAGAGGTAGAATAACCAGAGATTTCTCAGCGGCGGTGGTGTTTATAAAGTTTTTATTTTCCATCTTCTTAAAAATAACATTTGCTTTCCTTTATGCATGGGTAGAGTGAACTTGTTTGCCTAGGCTGAGTAATAGGCAGATAAAGACCACGCACGCACGGCAAGGTGAGGGGCCCCAGGTGGAGGCAAGTGGGGATTGGCAAGGCTTGAGGGGAAATGGCGCAGAGGAAGGGGAGAGAGTGGGATAGCCCACGGGACGCTTGAGTGCCCATCAACGCACACACAGGTCTAACACGTTCATTTTTTTTTTTTAAAAAAGACATCTAAATTACTGAGAGATACAATGTCAGCACTTAAAGCTACAGACAGAACCCAAGCACTTGACCACAATTGTTAACTCTAAGCTCAGTTATTGAACATTAGACAGTTTAAGTAGGACGAGGGCTGTGAAGCAGGGTGCTCTGCCTGGGACTTGTTAGGGATGTCTTGAATCTCCTTTTGCACATCCCCCCCCCCAGGTCCTTCTCTGGGACAACAGCAGGCCAGAAGGCCCAACATGACCCAGGTGTCAAAGATGGGCCCCTGATTCTCTCCCAGGGCTGTGGGCTCAGGCTTGGGTGAGATGACACCAAAAGACCCCACCCACCTACTCAGCGGTGAAACTGGAAGCCAGAAGCAGAGTTCAAGAAAGGCCAAACAGGTGCCAACCCAAAACAGGGGGCCTGGGGTAAGGAAGGACCTGTGCCCATCCATTACGTGTGGTCACAACCCCTGTGGGACACCGGGGGTGGGGGGAAGCCAAGATGTCTCATGTCTCTCACCAACTTTGCCTCCTGCCAGAGCTCCCCAGGCTAAGCTCCACCCCATTACTCCTGGGACCTCTGAGTGAACTCTCAAGGCACATTTATTCCCTCTGACCCCAACCTACCCCGCCCTACACCATCCCTCCCAGCACCCAGGGGCACAGGAGGTTGCCAGGGCCCCTGCAAGATGTGGCTCTCCCGTAATGTGGCTGAACTCTTCAACACAGCCCTACTCCCCCTGCCCACAGTAAGGGAATGAGAGCAGGACGGACCAAGAGGGGCTGGGCAGGCAACTTAGTCAAGGGTGAGGCCACAGGACTGACAATGATCTAACTTGTGACCTTGTTCCTGAGGAAACCCAAAGCTTGCTTAGCCAGAAGCCACTTGGGGACCTTCGATCCCATCAGGAACAGCTGCTCTGCCTACCTTTGTGGGGTTCAGTCTCAGTGAGGTGAAAAGCAGTATGGGGGCTCTAGAGAAGGGCAAGCTTTCTGGACCCCTGCAGGCCTGCCACAGGCGAGTTCAACCCCTTTTGCTTTCTACGGAACATATTTACAAAGTCAGATACACAACCAGAAAGCCCTGGGATACACAGAGCACAGCCTGCACCCCCCCCCCACACACACCCAGGGTGGTGGGGGATTGAGCAGAGCAGAAATAGGGAGGGAGCTTCTTCCTCTGTACCCCTCCCCATCATGGTGAGCCTAAAATCTTTCTCAGCTACCCAGGATCATTCTGGAAATCCAACTGGGGCAGAGGAAGAATCAGACTCCAGCCTAGCGAGAGCGGGAAGTTTCAAGTAACTCCAGCCAGAGGGGGGGGGGGGGGGGGAAAGGGGGGGGGTGGGGCTGTGGTAAAGGAGGAGGATGGGGAGAAGCAGAAGGGAGGAGTGAAGGATGGGGAGGGAAAAGAGGGGGGAGGAAGAGGAGGAGGAGGAGGAGGAGGAGGAGGAAAAGGAATGACTGCTTCTGGAATGCAGAGGGCTGATGTGACTGAGCCAGGGACCAGAGGAAGGTGGCAGAAGCCTGAGGAAGAGGGAGAGGAGGAGGAGAATGGGATCGGGCGACACCTGGAGAGTTGGAACTGTGTTGTAGAATGAGAAGCACTTTACGGAGCCTAGTGGCATTTCTGTATGTCCCCCAGGAGATGACAAAGAAGGTGGCCATTCCAGGGTGGCAGAAAGGAATGGGAAGGATGATGAGGCTCTTCCACAGAGTCCAACCAACTCTCAACGAATGCATCCAGCCAGTGTCCCAGGATACCCGGGAGAACCACACCGGGGCCTTGGCCTGGAAGCCTCAGCACAAGAGCTCCCAGAGCTGTCCAGCCTCCCAGCACCCCCAGCACACAGGAGGCCTCCCTCCTAGCCATCAGGGTGGCCCCCAGGTCTCTCTCTCTCTCTCTCTCTCTCTCTCTCTCTCTCTCTCTCTCTCTCTCTCACACACACACACACACACACACACACACGCGCGCGCGCGCGCGCGCATACCAAAAGGTATCAGAGGCCCAGGTCCGAGTAAGAAATTCTTCATCAAATATATTAAGAAATTTCTTTTGAAAAGGGAGAAATGCGAGACAATAAACACACAAAACCCTATAGGGCATCTGGGTGAGAGGACCTCCCATGGGTCCAGAGATTTGGGGGCATGGGGATGTACGGGCTCAGAGCCTAGCTGCCCAGTGTGATGCATTGTTCTCTACTCATACGTGCGAAGGACTTTGAGCAGAGCTTGGGGTGCAGTTCTGCTAGGGCTGTCTTGGGGACCCTTGAGACAGAGGAGATCCCATGGTTGAGAGGATTGTGGTTTTGGTGGCTCTCCTCCAGGACTATCTCAAGGTACAGGAAATGGCAGCTTCCCACTGCTTCCTCACACAGGGTCACTGGGACACACCTTTCTATCGGTCTGGGCAAGTGGGGACCATTTCCTTAGAGGGCCAGGAAGGAGGTGGGCACACATATGCTGCTTTCTGGTCCTCTGCCCCTTAGGACAAGGGGAACCCTAGCCAGGGGACAGAGGGAGCAGCAGGAAGACCTCACAGCAGGCTGCACCAAAGCTCAGCTCCATGATGACAGTCCCCTTTGCCAAGAAGGCACCCTAGATGCCCGTGAGGTGACAGGTGCTGACTGGGTTACTCTGAGGTCTGGCATTGAAGGACCTGTCCTCCCCTTCATCACTGCCTCTGCCTGTTCTGAGCTATCTCTGGTTTCCCGGGAATAAGTTAAGAGATAACCTATTAGGTGTTTCCAGCCTTTTGATGTTGTGATAGAGCATTGTCATCTACTAAGTTGACTCTCAAGAACTCCTTGGTTGAGTTACCCCCCCCCAAAAAAAAACCCACCCATGTCTTAAGTAAGTTTTGTGTTGGGCCACATTGATAGCTATCCTGAACCAAATGCAGCCCAAGGGCCATGATTGGACATATCTGCAACTAGTCCTTCAGATACCAGAAGGGTAAGCCTTGCTGTGTGCGGAGTCCTGCCCATCATCACTAGAAGATGGCCGGCTTTCACATCAGATCAGCCTGATTTGGGGAGGTTACCCAACTTACAGCTTCCCCTGCTTCCTCTCTTTGACCTCAGAAGATAGAGGAAGAAAGGCAGGAAGGGGCAGGGGAAGGTAGCACTGACTGAGCATGGAGGAATAGCAGGTATTGAGCTGAGGAACAGGATCAGGGGCATCTCATTTTGCTGATTTTGGCCCATTAGTGTGTACATGTGTGCATTTTAAAATCAACAGCAAAGGAGAAGAAAATAACTACGAGGAGGAAGGGGCCTTTGGGTGTTTCACTGCTATGAGCAGCATGAACACATCTGTTAGCACATCACACACACACACACACACACACACACACACACACACACAACCAGTCACACATGTCACACTCTCCATTCCAATCCTCCCCGCTGGAGCCAGGGTCCTTCACACTGACTTCCGGATCCATTTGCTAAGTTGCCTGCTGTCGTCCAGGTTTCTTCTGGCCTGTCTCTCTGGCCATCGGCACCCTGGCCTGCCGAGGCCTTTGAGGGCCATCTACCAGATGTAGCCTCCATCATCTGCCTCACCAGCCTCACCCTCCTCCTCCTCAGCCTCCTCTCCTGCCTCTTCTGTCTCCTTTTCCTCCTCATCTTCCCAGCCGACACCGCTTCCAAAGTCCCCTGAGAAACCCACGATGTCATCTGTTGGGAACAAGCAGAAGGCTGGTAAGGAACCTACCGTGTCTACTTTCAGCCAGGGGTCCTGCCCCACGGAACCCAGGAGCAGGTTCTCAGGAGGCTTCCAGAGCCACCAGCTCTTACCACAGTCAGGGTTCCCATGCATGCGTGTGCCGGTCAGCTCCAGGCCCAGCTGGTCCACACACCAGCAGTCACCACTGCTCTGGTCACACTGCATCTTCCGGTAATAGCCGTCCTCATCGCAGCTCGGGATAAAGACACCTGAGGGTTAGAACACCTGAGGGTGGGCTCTGGAGTCTCGTGTGTGAGCAGAAGCCCAGATAGCCTCAGAACCTGGCCAGCATGGTACTGACACTCATCCACCCCCCACCCCAAGAAATCAGACATTCAGGGATTGTTTCTTCCAGCACTACTGACTGGAAGCACAGATCTCCCTTCCCAAATGTCCCTAAATCATATGCACAGGCTACTTCAAGGGTGCCATTGACCGCTGTTGTTTCTTGGGTTCCATGGCCTTCTTCTTGTAGGACATTCTGTCCTCGTCATGTTAGAAAGCTGGATCCCACTCTTCGCTTATCTCCAGCTAGGAGTGTAGGGATTCTCTACCTTCCTCAGGGCCCGCTTGTTTCTCTCAGGTCCCTAAACTATCCACTAGACATTTTCTGAGATGTTTACGTGGGGGGATAAGAGCCATAGAGACAGCCAGGGTGAGTTGAGGCACTCTAGAGCGGGAAGCCTAAGACACAGGGACATGCTTCAGGGAATGGATGGCAGAGTAGCTTCCTCTCTAGGGCTGGAGGCCAGTGGACCCAGTCAGCACAACCCTATGCTTGCTTGGGGGCTGTATGTTCATTTAATGTGTCTGTCTCATAAGCCCAGTCAAGTGACTCTCAAGGAGCTACAAGGCCTGTGCTGTGTGCCCGCCTCTCAGGACCACTATGCCCTCAACATCACCTCCTTTCCTGCTGTTTGTTGTTGTTGTTGTTGTTTGGTTTTTTTGTTTTGGTTTTTTTGGAGACCTCAAGATTTTTCCTGATTCTGTCAGTGTATGTGTCTGGCTTATTTTCCTCCCTCGAGACAAGCCAGTTCCTAACATTCCAAGACTAGTAGTCCCCCAGAAAGATCTCTGCTGACCTCTCTCGGGAGGCTTATGCCCATCTGCATTGTCCCTCAGTCCCTACACAGCAGTCTGAGTTGGGAATTCCCTTGGTGTTTTGATTTGTGTGCTGAGCATTCCCATGGCTAGTCTGTCCAAAGGCCTTCATTAGCCAAGAACCTTGTCTGCCTTGCCCATCAGTTCTCACCTAGGCTGGGTAGCTCTCCCATCTCTTCAGGGCTTTCCTTTAGAACATGAGTGAGCATCTCCCATGGAGAGGCTCCACTCCAGCCTTAGACAAATATCCGATACAATGAATCCAAGCAGAGGCTTCTCCAGCAGTGGCCTAGATAGCCATAAAGTGCTTAAACACACTCCTTGAGGGGCAGCTGAGGAGACGCTTGCCTACCAAGCCCATGAAACCAAGAAGAGCATTTTCCTGTGTGGTCCTAGGTCAGGTCCTTCCTGTAGGTTCATCATATGCCATAAAGCAGGGTAGTTGGCATCTCTGGGCCTCAAGGGAACTCCCAGCAGCCCTCCTAACCTCCTCCTCTGCACCACTCCTCACCTGGCTTCTTCTTGGCTGCTTCCTGGATCTGTGTGCGTTCCAGCTCTGCCAGGCAGGGGGGCTCTGTAGAGAGAAGCAGTCTTAGGGTTGACCCATGGTGTTGAAAGCACCCCTAAACTTAAAAGCCTTTGTGGGGGCTCTGCAAAATAAAATACCTGAGCGCTCACAGCAGACCACACCAGGGTCTGCACAGACCCCAATAAGATCCTCAAGTCAGTGTAGGGGCTCTGATGGCTGAAAACTACCAGTGTCTAAGGGAGGCCACTACAGCTAAGGATCCTAAGAATCCCAGGGTTTTCTAGGGGTTTTGACACTCACAGGATGAGTTTTAAAAAATTCAAAAGAGAGCTGGGTGTGGTGGTGCATGCCTTAATCATAGCACTCTGGAGGCAGAAGCAGAGGCAGGTGGATCTCTGTGAGTTTGAGGCCAGCCTGGTCTACATAGACAGTTCCAGGACAGCCAGAACCAGATAGTAAGATCTTGTCTCAAAAACAAAACAAAACAAAACAAAAAACAAAAAAACACCAAATCAAAAGCACTGATGGTTTGAATAGATATGACCACAAGTGTTTGAATGTTTGGCCCATAGGGAGTGGCACTATTAGGAGGTGTGGCCTTGTTGGAGTAGGTGTGGCCTTGTTGGAGATGGGCTTTGAGGTCTTATATGCTCAAGCTATGCTCAGAGTGGCATGCAGTCTCCTTCTGTTGCCTGTGGATCAAGATGTAGAATTCTCAACCCCTTCTCTGCCTGCATGCCACCAAGCTTCTTGACATGATGATAATGGACTAAACCTCTAAAACTGCAGGCCAGCACCAATTAAATGTTTTCCTTTATAAGAGTTGCTGTGGTCATGGTGTCTCTTCACAGCAATAGAGACCCTAAGTAAGACAAACACAAAACAAAACTTAGACTTAACTCCCAGGCCTAAAAATAGCCGGTGGCTCACCTCTACTGTCTGAGCCCTTGGGGAAACCCTGGTCTTCTAAACCAGAGATCTGCAGAATAGTAAAACCCAACAGTTCAAACCTTCTGCACATGCAGAAGGGACAGGATGAACATCAAGAGCCTGGGGAGTGGACAGGCTGGAGAGCACAGGCAGCAGGGAGGCTGGTCAGCACACTGAAGACAAAGACTGCTCGTGGGGCCTTGCACCACAGAGGGATGCGTGACTCCCACAGCTCTGTGCTCACCACTGCCTCTGGGTTAATATTGTTACCTCCCAGTGAGGATACAGGAAGTGAACTCACAAACATGTGGTCACTTGTTTGGGACCCCAAACTATTGTATGGTGGAGCCCTAGCCAAGTCTCAGCCTTTGGTGGCTGATGCTTCCCATACGGTGGGCAGGGAGGCAAACACTGGGCCTACTCCAGCTGCTTGCCAGTCGGCTCACTTGTCCCTTTGAGATCACAAATTCCCCATCATTTGCCCTTGGCCTAGGTGATTTCTAAGCACACATCCAGTTCTGGCTCTGAGCATTCACAGCTAACAAATGTCATGCATGCAACAGGTGTGATGGTGCTCCTAGCCCAGAAGAGGCAAACAAGAGGATCACAAGTTCAAGGGACACAGAGTGATTTCTAAGACAGCTTAGTCTATATGATACCCTGCCTCGAAAAGATGAAAGACTTACAAATAAAAGCCAAAGCTGGGTGTGGTGGCCTATACCTGAAATCCCAGCATTGGGAACCATAGGAAAGGATGGTTTGGGGACCACAGGAAAGGATGGTTTCAGACACATGGTGAGTTCCAGAACAGCCTAGGGTATATGTAACCCTATCTCAAAAATAAATAAATAAATAAATAAATAAACAAACAAACAAACATAAAAGAATGTCTTCCCATGTGTATTTGCGCAAACAACAACTTACATAACCATTTGTTTGGGGCACAGTAGGTGTGCCCTTCAGAAGGGGAGTCACTGAAAAGCTAATGTGTCTTCCACTCTGAGAACCTCCCACTGGGCCCCAAATCTTCACATTCATAATTGTGTGTTTATCCTGTGTGTATGGTGTATGTGTACATGTGTATGTGCTCCTATATTTGAGAGGGCAGGCATGTGCATACTGTATTGTACATATGAAGGTCAGAGGTCAACTTTGTTTGTCTCTCCTTCTACCTTTATGTACATTCTGGGGCAGGAGCTCAGGTCAACAGCACAAATGCCTTACCCACGGAACCAGCCCTTAGCCCCCACATTTATTATCTTTTTTCAAAAGTGCACGAGCTTCAGGTGCCCACAAAATCCAGTCCACCTGGGAGCCTGCCCAGGGAGAGAGCTAAGCGTCAGCTGCCCTGGGTTCTTATTGGTGAGCGAAGACCAGATAGATACAGCAAGGAGGTGGGCTGGTAAGACTCTGGGCCCAAGCACGTGATCAAGAGGCAACTATTTCAACTACCTGGGCTGGAGCTAGGCCTGAGCACCCCCGGAAAGGAGGCCAGTGCCAGAGAACCACAGGGCCATACTCACTCTCCCTCCAAAAGCAGAGGCACCACTCAGCGGTAGAAACCCGGCCATCTTTGTAGGTATCGCAGGAGTTGAAGAAGGGGCGAATGCAGACCTCATATTTGTCCAGGTTGATGGCAGCCAGTTCTGTCTGGTCCAAGAAGAGGTCTCCACTGGTGTCCAGCTTGGAGAACATCCAACCGATGGAGTCCTTGCAACTGGCCCCCAGGTTCTTATCCAGGCCTAGGGAGGAGACTGGGGTTCAGGTATGCTTTGCTGTCTGTCCATCCATCTCCCCACATCTTTCTCAGCCCGACCTCTGTTCAGACTCAGGTTAACCTGGAACCTAACCTCAGGGTACAGAAAATGAACAACAGCCAAGGGCTTTTGCCTCTACCCCTACACAGAACTATACCTGAACCACTTAAGCCCATTTCATAAGCCCTTGGGAATGTTTCTTCAGGGGCTGGAGAGATGGCTCAGTAGTTAAGAGCACTGCCTGCTCTTCCAGAGGACCCAGGTTCAATCCCCAGGACCCACATGGCAACTCACACCTGTCTCTCACTCCAGTTCCAGGGGAACTGACATCCTTACACCAATGCACATAAATATGAATAAATTATTTCAAAAAAAAAAGCTCCTGTACCCACATCATGTCATAGCTGAAGCCAACCTCCCTTCTTCCAGATGAAGTTCTTTAGGGGTTCACATCATAGACTCGTGATCTGACAAGAAGGGGCACACCTGTGCACATCTGTCTGCTGGGCCCCTTCCTGTCTCCCTGACCCCACCCCATCCCAGGCAGAGCATTGGTCCCCATGCCACCTGTGGGGCTGGCTGCACTGCTGGCTGAGCCATTCTGCTTGGAGTTCTCACGAAGGAGCTGGAACCAGTCGCGGAGTCTATCCCCCAGGTCAGCCAGGTCTTGTCCTGTGCAGGTCTCTGCAGTGCAGAACAGAGCAGAGGTTCGAGGAGGGACGGGGTGAAGCAGAAACCGAGGCTGGGCAATGTTCAGGGGAACCGGAGAAGGGAGGAGGGGCTTCCTCTCTTCCCACCACCAATCCCCTACCCTACAGCTTGCTCTGCCTCTCCCTCCCATTCAGTCTAGGCAGGCTCCTTGTGGAAGGACTAGTGTCTTCACTCCCACTTCCCCAACACCCTGAGAAAAGAAAAGGGACAAAGCCCCAGCGTCCTGCTCTAGGTCACCAGGACACCAAACTCCACAGGTGCCAACACCTTTCCCTGTTATGACCAATTGTTCCTTCCCATTCTGCAAACTATCCTACGGTCCTGAAGGGTGATTACCTGACTTGCCATCGGTGGTGGACGTAGTGGCCTGCTCCGTGGGACAGGGACAGGGGCCCTCACATCTCACTGCCAGCTGCTTGCTGCTCAGGCATGCCTGCTGTTCCAGCTTACACTGCACGAGAGAGCTCAGGCTAGGTGATAGGGGCTCAACTATGGGTCCTGCAGCCAGGGGCCCTGGGGGTTTCTATCACTCCAGAAGGAAGGACCACAGGCTTTTTGTGCTTGCTAGAGGACAGCAAGGCCAAGGGAGGCCCAGGCCTGTGTCTAGGGCCATGAGTTTAAGGTGGAAGCCAGAGCTCTTGGACCTTTCCCGGAAGCTTCCTGCCCACACGTATCCCTCTCGTGTGGGATACAGCTTCTTCCTCCTCCCCATCTGCCCCCGTCTCTTTTCTCCTTCCCCTCTTCCTCCCAACTCCTCTCTCCTGTCTCCTTCTAGTTTCTTTGTAAGCTCCATGGCTCCTGCATGCATCCTTGTACCTATTCTTCCTTCTCTCCTCTCTTTCTTCCCCTCCCCACCCTGTGACCACACCCTCAGCAAGGACCTCTTTAGCTTTTGAGCCTGTCCTGATACTTGTTTTGTAGATCAGGCTGTCCTTGAACTCACAGAGATCCGCCTGCCTCTGCCTCCCAAGTGCTGGGATTAAAGCCGTGCGCCACCATGTCCCGCTCAGCAAGGACCTACATTTTATGCTAACCCAAAGGCTCTCCCCAGGGCTGGGGAGGCAGTCCATGGTTAAAGTGCTTGTCATACAAGCATTGGAACCTGAATTTAGACCCCCCAGAAATCACGTGAATAGCAGGAAGGCATGGGGCCCATCTGTAAGTCCAGCCTCAGAAGGCAGAAACAGAGGATCCCCCAGGACAATGTGGCTAACAAGACTAGCAATATCACAGGAGTTTCTGTTTCACTGAGGAACCCTAACCAACAACTAAGAAGGAAGAACAATGGAGGAGTCCCAACATCAACCTGAGTGTGTCTATGTGTGTGTGTACAGACACACACACACACACACACACACACACACACACGCACGCACGCACGCACGCACGCACGCACGCACACAAAAATAGAAGAAAAAGGGGGAGGGGTCTCCTCAACTCAATGCTAGTTAAGCAACCCTAGCTTCTCACTTCTAGAAACATTATTAACCAGAGCCTATGTGTCCTTGAAACTCTTAAAGTTTGTAAAGGTGCATCCACAAATATCTTCTCAAAATTCCACAAGGTAGGAGTCTGTACCCTCCCAAGGTTCTTCCCTACACCTTCTGATGGAGCCTGTGCCCTGCCCACATCGCCCCATGCTGGCTGTCAAGCATGGAGACGTCAGTGTGGAAGTCCTTCTCCCTAGCAAAACTGACCAATGAGCTTCCATCCATGGCTCTGAGTACTTTTGTGCACGTTTCCCTGGCTTACTCCACACGCATTACCCATTAGCCCAAACATCCCTTCATGTCTCTTCCCTGCCCTCCATCTGCCCAAGGTCGGATCACCCTGGCCAGGGCTGAACAGCTGCCCTGAACACACTGACCCAGCCCCGAATCAATCCTAGGAACTCTTCAGGAGGTCAGTCAGTGGTCCCTCTGTTTCCCTGGCACTGGGTACACCCCACCTCCACCTCACACACGACCAAGGCTCCTCACCACCGAACTGTAGGTATGGCCATCTGAGCCACAGACTGAAGCGAGCTGGGCCATGTGACAGGGCTTGCAGGTGGAGTCTTTGTTTCCGTGGAGTTTCAGAGAGGGCTGTTTGATCCTGTGAGAATGGACGGGGAAGACGTGGGGATAGAGGTAAAGGGAACAGAGCTGGCTGAAGGCCCACCAGAGCTTTTCTGACAAGACTCCTGTCCAGCGACCACTCACCCACCTATGCCCGTCCTCTCCCTTGTCAGACCCAGCTCCTAAGAATGGACCAACTGGGCAGGACATGGACCCTCACTTGGGAGCAAAGAGAGGTCTGATTGCAAGAGGGGTCAACAAAAGCTGAGGTCATGGGCCATGCCTGGTGTACACACACAATCCTTTTGTCTAACCACCAGGTTAGTTACTGTTGTGTTTTTCATGAACATTGCAAAATGGGAGAGTAGGTACACAAATCCCAAATGCCTCCTGCTCCATAGGCCTTAGAAACTACAGTCTTCAATATTCTGTAAAACCCCCACATGTCAGAACAGGGGACTTGGGTTGCCTGGTCTAACCTGTTTGTCTTAGACACACAGGACACCTGGTCAGGGAGGAGCTGTGACTCCCTAGGTCTTGTTTTGGTGAGATGTGGCATTCTCTCTCTCTCTCTCTCTCTCTCTCTCTCTCTCTCTCTTTCTGTCTCCACACACACACACTTCCTTTCTCTCCACTTTGTCTCCACTTATGGAGAGCCAGTTGCCATAAGGCTGAGGGCACCCAAACCTCCCTATGGAGGTTTCTGGTAACTGGAAATTCACACCACTCACACTTCCCAACAACAGCCAGGAGACAAGTGGGAAGGGGGTCACTCCAGGCCCAGCTTTCTCTGTGTCTCTGTGGAACTCTGAAATTCAAACTTGCACAGATATCCTCTCCTTAATCGTCTGACACCAAAACAAAACCAAAAGATCTCTCAAGGTGGGAATCTGTTTCCTTCCAGTTCTTTCAAAGACCACGTCTTTTCCTGCCCACAATGCTGGTGACCATCAGGACCTCAGAGGGAAAGTCATCCTCTTTTATCACAGACCCTGAGCCAGAACCAACCAAACCAATAGGACCAATCCTGGGTGCCCTGACCCTCGGAAACAATCAGAACTTGATCTTGTTCTGAGTCACTAACCTGTGAGCGATGTGTTTTCCAACAGTAGGTGCCTAATATGTAAGGAGGGGGTCGGGGAGCCCCGCCTTCTGAGCAAAACAGCCCCCTCTGGGGCTCCTGTCACTCACCTGTGCTCCAGTTTCTTGCGGCTGATGCACATGGCCCGCTGGTAGCCTTGGGCGATGCATACCTTGTGGTGACTGCACTTAACCTTCTGGCAGGGGTCCTTGGTGGTGTCCAGGGCTGTGGGGACACAAGGTTGGGACACTGACCACCTAGGAGAACCAGGATCCCCAGTCCAACTGCTGCCCCAGCAGCCCTCGGTAGCCAGAGTTCAGGACTTCAAGTCCTGTACCCAAGGTGCCAGCTGTTCAAAGAGGCCCAGAGCAGTCATCGCTCTCCCAGTCCCATGGGTGGGAGACCCCTCCCACATACACCTGGAAGGGACATGCTACCTTCATCGCCTTGCTGATTGTCCTCCCAGCTCTTGATGTAGTCATCCTAGGAAGGGATAGAGGGGTGGGAGAAAGGAAGGACCCAGTCACATCTCAAATTCAGGGACCAGGATGAGAGAGGTCTGGGCTATGAATTCCACCACCCAGGCCACTGCCCATAGCCTCCCCACTCTTGGTACCCTAGAATGCTTTCCAGTCTCTCCCACACTTCTCTCCACCCCACATTGGTGCTGGCAAAGGAAGAGGAAACAGTTGGGGTGAGGCCTGGGTTGTACTCACTTCTACTTCCTGGAGACAGGGCGCCATCCAATCCACAGGAAATGAGCAGGGGAAAGAAAGAGAAAGGAGGGACTTCACTGTGAGGCCCACCCTCAGACCATGAGTCCCAAGGCCTCCTTGGATTGTGTCTCTAAACCCAGCAAACACTATTTGGAGGCCATTATTCCCATATCTTCATCACAGAAAATTTACGCTCTGGAAGCTGCAAGGCAAGGCCCATAGTTTAGAAAGGGTAACAAACCCCAGTCCAATCCTGGCCCTGCCACCAAGGCAGATGTCTGAGGGGGCTGTACTGCCTGGGAATGGTGTTTCTCGTGCCTCTGCCCTGGGTAGCTGGGAAATAGCACCCAGATTCTCCCTGTAGCCCCTTCTTTGGCAGGCACCCTGCTGTCACCTGCCCACCCTGTGAGGGAGGTGTGAGGAAGAGCCCTCTCTTCTAAGCTGTAGGAAAGCTGGCAGAGCCCAGATGGTGAACACTGGGAAGGGGACAACAGCACCAGTGATGATGGCTTCCCTGGTTATCATGGACCAGGGAACCTGAAAGGTCTTCCCAGGTCACGCGAGCCAACCCTTCTTGGGTGGAAGAAACAAGGATATTCAGAGATGGGCAATCAGCTGATTCAGATCACACCTTCACTGAACCAGATCTCCGCTGCCAGGTATAGCCCTCTCTTCCCACTACATCACAGGGTCTCTGAGACCCAAGGCCCTTGGAGACCTTCCCACTCTTTTCTGTCCCATGGCCCGGTGACCCCAGCCTGGCCAGAGGCAGGAAGCTTCCCATCTACTTCCCTTAGCTTCCTCTCTTTGCCCTTTGGGGTTGAAAATCACTAAACAGTTTCCAGGGTGTCTGGAAGAAACTCTGCCAGGCAGGTAGGAGCAGTTTCTGGACCCTGGAGGATTTTAGTACTGAGAGCCAGCCACCAGCCTTCTCTGCTTGGGACACCGGTGAGAAGCAACATACAGCTAGCTACCTGCAACCCATCCTTATCTTTGCCATACCTCTGTCAGAGATGTCAGGGGTGGGGGTGACATGGGCCTGAGAAGGAGAAGGCATGTGGCTCTGGTGTCACAGGAGACCCCAACCTCAGTGGGAACAAGGACACAGAATGAAGAGACGCCAGGGCTTTGGAAGCCTCCTCTGGAAATCGGCAGGCAGCAGGACAATGGGGATGAAGGCTTCCACAGAAGAGCCAAACAGGCAATAGTCAAAATAAATGGGCCATTTGTTCAGACCTACCTAGGTGTACACATGTATGCCTAGGGGCATGTAGTGTGTGTACGCGTGCGTGCGCACTAGTGCACACATTCATGCAGTCATGTGTACACATACACCTTCCTCACTGGCATGGGTATGTACAGTGAACATACAGATGTACAGCACATGAAGGAACACGGGGGCACTTAAGGCCATCCACCGGTGCCAGATGGTTTGCATCCAGAAATGAAGCAGCAGACCCCACTGCTGTGAACAGCCTCCAGTTTTCACACTCAGCACAGCCTTCCTGCCTCTTCCATAGACAGGGAAGGTATTAAGGGATGGGTGGGAGAGGAGGGAGGGGCCCCGAGAGGAACAGGCTCCCTGGGAGGGAGGGGTCTGGCTCTTAGGATGGCTCTGCCTGCCTCTCTCGCTCTCTCTGTGTCTCTCCCATCTGGCCTCTCCCCTACCCCTTAGTGCTCCTCACCCTGGACCCCACAACATGCTCAGTCAGCCAAGTGTCTCCCAGCTCTTGGGCTCAGGGTCAGACAGGAGAGAGATCAGCAGGGCCCAAAGCTCAGGGCTTGCTCTGGAGGCCACAGGATGAATGTCACCCCCCACCCCACCCCCGACCAGGGGCCAAAGGATGACAATTCAGTTCTAGCCATTTTCCAACAGCACCTCGGGGTAGGGGTCCTCTGCCGGAATCCTCCTTTATCAGAGATGGGAAATGGGCTGAGAATGGCCAAGTAGTTGAGGTCAGCCAGGATTACCAGGCCTGAGGCAGAAGCAGGCACCAGCTTCTTTGGGGTCGGGGATCATCCCCTGCTGCTCCCATTCTTTCCTGAGAAGAGGGTGGGGATCTGGTTGTTAAGACATGGTGTGGCATGTCTATAATTTCAGCAGTCAGAGCTGAGGCCGCAGGATACATATTGGGCTACATACTGTGGACCCTGTCTCAAGCAGAGGATGCTGTGATTAGCCGGGATTTGGGAAGCAGGTGTGAGCTGGCTGTCCTTACTGTCAAGAGCTGTGCTCTCAACACCCACCCAGTCCAACGTTGGAGTGGAGAGGTGATCTACGATCTTCCCACTCGGGGGCACCCTCTAAGGGCTCTGGAGCCCACTCATATACTTCAGCTGGAACCCACTCCAGCTAGACTATAGGTAGAATCCTGGGACTCAGTACAGAGTGGCTTTTTAAAGCTTGAGGCCAAGAATGTCTGATTAGAAACTCAAGTGATGGTGGGGAGGGCTTGAAGAATCCACCCATGCCGTGCCCCACCCCAAAGAGGGGGTAGCCTCCATCTGACAGAGGAGGACAGAGAGGGACAGAGGAGGCCCTTCTGGATAGGAGCAACATTCCAGAATCCAGCTAAGCCCTGCAACCCCACTGCCATGCACAGCTGGGGAGGGGCTGGAATCCCTTGCATCTTAGCCCCTCACTCCTGGGAGGGGAGAAGCACCCAGCCAGGGGGATGAGAACAGGAGGCCCTGCAGTTACCCAGGGTCCCAGCTTTCCCTTGCTAGGACTTCAGGCACACTCCTGGCCTCTCTGAGAGGACCACTCCCGATATCGAAGCTGTTCTGTCAACAAGAAATTCAGATTTAGGTGCAGAATGGGGGACAGAGATGAAAGGTGAGGGGCCCCTGGAAGTTGCAGGAAGAGGGGTCCCTGCTGAAGAGCAAGAGTCCAGTGGGGATGGGAGAAGAATCACTCTCCAAAGGGGGTCACATGGACAGGTGACAAAGGCATCTTGCAGGCAGCAGGGAAATGGTGGAAATGGGGAAACACTGAAGTCCGATGGGGGTAGCCGGTACCATCTACAAGCCGATGAAGATGGTTGTGGTTAACTGGGAATTACACCCTTCCTGCAACGTGTCTATTTATGGTACCCATGTGGGCTTATTAGAGGTTGTGAGAAATGATCAGACCTGGGTCTTCTTGGGAAAGAGGATGCCCTACGGCTCTGCTACAACCCACCCTCACCTGACAGGGTTTTGTGAGCCTTATTCCAGTGCTCCGCAGCAGGAGCCAGAGCAGAGGGAAGATGAATGGGTACCCAGAGCTCTACACTGATAGAGGGACATGCCTGTTTTCCCTGCCTAGTGCACTCAGTAGGATCACATAGCAGACAGGTGAGAAAAGCTTCTGGAATGTATGAATGCACTGTGTTTGTAAGGAATGGTGATTTTGAAGTAAGTTCCCAGGCTGGGGCTATAGTTCAGTTGGTGGGGTGCTCACCCAGCATGCAGGAAGCCCCAAGATCCACCCCCAGGAGTGCAGAAACTGGGTGTGGTTGCTCACTTAGGATCCCAGCATTCCAGAGGTGGCAGAGGCAGGAGGATCAGAAGTTCAAGGTCATCATGAGCTACATGGCGAGGTCAAGACGACCCTAGGACATAGGAGACCCTGTCTCTTTAAATGAATAAAATAAGAAACAAGTCCTTCCCAAGCACTTTGCAACAACACCATTAAAAATGAGAAAATTCGGGGCTGGAGAGATGGCTCAGAGGTTAAGAACACCGGCCGCTCTTCCAGAGGTCCTGAGTTCAATTCCCAGCAACCACATGGTGGCTCACAACCATCCTTTATGAGATCTGGTGCCCTCTTCTGGAGTGCAAATATCATGGAAGCAGAATGCTGTATACATAATAAATAATTTTAAAAAAAAAGAGAAAATTCATTTTTAGGGGGATAGAGAAACAGAACAACTGGGCAGAAGACGGTAAGAGGCAGGCCTGGCATCACCATTCCCTGCCTTGAAGAGAGACACAGGGGGGAAAGGCTGCAAGCCAGGATTGTGTTCTTAAAACACCACTCATCCACAAAAGCTCAGGTCTCTTCCCTGCACTTCATGAGCTGGGGGTCACAGGAGGGGTCACAGTAGGTCTCCCGATGCCCAACAGGGACCGCTGCAGTCACATGTGTTGGTTTTGGTCAAGCTCTAGACAGCCAGTAGGCTAGGGCTCAAGTCTATACTCCCCACAGCTGTGTGTCTTCTGGTACTGTGCTTATGCCCTCTGATTTCTACCAGAGCCCGGGGGAGGGAAAGAGCAGCCTCCCTCTGAGGGAGCTTCACACCACCCTCTCCAAGCCATCTCACTTCCTTCCCCACCTCCTCTGCCTCCCCTACCACACCAGTCCATCAAGACAGCTGAGCTTAAATCCCTGCAGAATGCCCACCCCCCGGTTGGCTTTGCAGTCACCCTGCCCTGGCCAGTGGCCAATTGTCCCTTTTTTCCTGATCATGTCCCCTTTTTAACTACCAGAGCAGTTCGCTGCACTCATTTAGTTAGAAGGGTAGGTGGACAGAGGAACAGACAGGGTAAAAGAAAAGCATTCCTATCAGAGTATTAACAAGATGTTTCCTCCGATGGGTAGGGATGCAGAAAACACTTAGCATCTTTTTGCTGTCCCCCATCTTCGAATTTTTTCTGCAACTAACGTATATGGCTTTTAAAGGAAAGGGGGAAAAAAATCACCGTAAATGTTAGTTACATTTAGAAACCCTCCCCGGGGGTTCCCTGACACTTCCGGAAGGTTCATCTTTTCATCTGTGTCTGACCACCTAGCTCAGTGTCCACCCGGGGATCTCTCAGCAGGCCGTGGCTTTGCACAGCTGCCTCCTGCACTTGGCACAGGTGTTCACGTCTGACCCCAGACCAGCTGGTTGTCTGTCACAGCCCAGGCCCAGCATCATCTTCCCAAACCCTACCCTTGCCTGGTTATCCTACCTTGGAGAGTCCAAGTGTTGCTCTGGTGACACCCAGCAATGTCACTGTTTCTGCTTCCCTGCCTTATATCCCTTAAGGGAAGATACCATATA